GCGGACGGGGCTGGGCCGGGCCTGGCGGGAGCGCGGCGGTGACAGCGGCGCCTCAGGACCCCCCGCCCCTCTCTCCCGCGCACCCGCCACTGCCCGGCGCAGCCAACCCCAGCGGCCACGCGCCGCCGCCATGGCCAATCACCCGCCGCCGTCAGCTCTCCGCCCCGCCTACTGGCGCTGGAGTGACAGCGCGGCCGGCCAATCAGGCAGCGCCCTCCCGCGTTCAGGGGTGGGTGCGCGGCGGTGGCCGGGACGCCGTGGCCGGGCCTGAGGGCGCCGCGGGGGAGCGGTCGCAGGACGGGCCGTGCGAGGAGCGGCGGGGTCGGGCGGTGCCCGGGACACCTCGGTGGGGCGAGAAGGCACCGCGGGCCTGGTTACTGCCCGCCCGGCGGCGGCCGAACGCCCCCGAGCCGCTGGGGCTGTGCTGGCGCTGGTGCTCAGGGGTGGCGGGCCCCTGGGGCTGCTCGGCGGAGCTCCAGCCTTGAGTCCGAGGCGTGCCGGGGACCCCGACGTTCGAACCCAGAGCGGCTTCAGGTGGAGATATTCAAACCCCACCTGGACGAGTTGCCATGTCACCTGCTCCAGGGGACCGTGCCTTGGCTGAGTGATCTCCAGAGGGTCTTCCCAACCCCAGCAGTTCTGTGATTCTGTGTGTCACAGTGTGTCCTGAGGCCAGAGCCAACAGGACCAGCGTTGCGGAGGTGGTTTAAAATAAATAGCGTGCTTCCCCTGGAACAAAGGCGGCCTTCTTTGTGCTGCAGAAATTTGAATCATAGAATGACTGGGGTTGGAAGGGACTAAAATACCATCCGGTTCCACCTCTCTGCTACGGGCAGGGGCACCTTCCACTGGAATAGGTTGCTCAGAGCCTCATCCACCCTGGTCTTGAACGCTTCCAGGGATGGGGCATCCACAGCTTCTCTGGGCAATCTGTGCCACTGCCTTACCACCCTCATAGTAAAGAATTTCTTCTTTATATTTAATCTAAACCTGCTCTCTGTCAATTTGGAGCCATTCCCCTTGTCCTGTCTGTACATGTCTTTGCAATAAGTCCCTCTCCAACTTTCTTGTAGGACCCCTTCAGGTACTGAAAGGCCTCAACAGGGTCACCCTGGAGCTTTCTCTTCTCCAAATTCTCTCAGCCTTTCCCTCATGGGAGAGGTGCTCCAGCCCCCTAATCATCTTCATGGCCTTTATGTTTTTGTAGCAGTCATTTGTGGGGGAAAGTCTCAGGTTTTTTAGCACATCCCAGGAGACAGGCTATTCTTTAACGTGAACAAATTAACCCTTCTGTTAACAATCTGAGTGCAACTGATACAAAGCACTGTCATGACGAAGGCAGCAATTGTAACCCAGGCTCAGAACTGGACCAGTGAACAATCAGGGTGCCATCAATACACTCACTCATGACTTGACTCGCCTCCAAATCAGCCACTGTACAAAAGTGGAGAATGAGAACATTAATAAAGGCCGTGTTTAATGCATAGGGACAAGGCCACTGCCAGTATCACCAGTAAGAGACCTTAATAAAAACAGGCAGGATTTATTTCCATGATGCATGTGATTCATGCTCAGTTCCACACCGCTAGTTGAAAGTGTATGAAGGGATCATTTTGAGTCTGGGCTGAGCGCCAGGGGTGCACTATGCTAATATATATCTATCTTGTATTAAACAGTCTTTCCTGGGTTTTACCTAAGCTGTGGAATTGCGTGCTGTCTAAAGAGAAGGGACTAAAAGGCCACCGAGGAGAAAAGACTGATGAAGATAAAAGACAAGCGAGAAAAAAGCAGACCTGAAGAAGGCAGAAACAAATGGTTGTGTGGGGAGGAAGAGCCTGCCAGGTGGAAATACGACATGCTGGTTTACACAAGACATAAGGAACTCGATCCTGCCTCTGATCCTTCATCCTCAGAGATGAAGGAGCCAGAGGCCAAATGGATCTTGAGGTGAGGAACTCCTGCAGTGTTGAAGGGCCTCTGTACCACAGGGGTAAGAATGTTCCTGGAATTTTGTGTTGGAACCTTTGTGGTTTCTGGCCAAATCTCAGAATTCCCAAGTGCACCTTGCCGTGTAGGGAAGCACAGGCCTCTCATTTTTGAACTTCTGAAAATCACTAAAGAGCTCATGGCTGAAGTGTGAAGCTCTTGTGACTACTTGAGGCAGGAGCAGCAGTGGAACATGTGACGGCACAACCCAGAGTGACAGAAACCCTGGGTTCTCCTTGCAAATCCTTGGGCTGCATTAACACAAACAGCACCTGTCTTACAACAATCTCTTTGCAAGAAGGTTGCTGCAAGTCTCACTGTCCCTTGGTGCCACTTTGAACTGAAAACTTCCCCTTTGCTTTTGCATCTTGGCAGGTGTGGCAGCTTCTGAGCTGGCCCTGCAGGTGAGAAGGCACCTTCAGCCTGCTTTCTGCTTCCCCAGCAGCTGCTCTCTCGAGGTGCAGGTAAACAAGCTGGTGTTTCTGCAGAGCAGCATAATTGGGGGATAGTTTAATAAACTGGGGCTTTATCTCACCCCAAACCTGATGGAAGAGGTTGTACAACCACATGCAACCACCCAGACACCACTCTTTGCCTTGCCAAGGTGTGAGGTGAGAGTCCAGTGAGCAGCTGAGTGTCTGGATCCTGGGAAATGCAGAGAGTTTGACAGCTCCTATCGCTCCATGCTCTAGAGGTGTGTGCTGGCAGCTGCAGAGGTCACGAGGCTGGAAGGAGTAAGGATGAATGGATGAAGTGTGGGGGAAGCACACACTGCATCTGGGATGATGTCAGCATTTAAACAGCCGAGCTTTCCCCTAGGGCTACTGGCCGTTCAGTCACGTGCAGGTGCACCTGCTCCTGCTCCAACAGTGCTGTGGTGCCAACAGTTGATTTTATTTTGCTGTAAATTGTTGGGAAGTAAAATTATTAAGACACTTCAGGAACCAGGTCCTAATCCTGTCAGCTTAATTTAGTCTAGTGCACAAATTCTGAATATAATGTGGGTTATTGGTAAGGTCCTATGTTGTCCTCATGTACCTCTTTTCATGAGAGTTTTTGATTTAAAGCACCTCATTTATGAAAGATAAGGAAAAATTAAAGAAACATGGAAGTACTTCCCCTGTTGGCTCTCTCCTTGGCGAGGGTGTTCTCAAAGTCTGGGGGTCCACAACCCCACTGCTTGGGGACATTACTGTGGATTTATGGTTTCTTTGCTCAGGCAGTGCAAAGAAATTAGTTGTATTATCTGCTGCCTAAAAGAGACCTGGACTGTAGAATCACAAGGGGAAGAGATGGGCTGAGTCAAGAGATAATGCCAACATTAAAAGATAAAATGGATTAACATCTCCCTGCGCAGGACAGGCCCTCCTGGCTGACCTACATGGGGCTTACAGCTGATTTTTACCCACAGGCTCTAGCAAGAGGTTGCAAAACCAGTCCATGGAAAATAGCTCACAATCATATATTTCCATTTCTATTTCAGCCTGGGATCTGAGCTTTATCAAGACTCGAGACAAAGGAGGCCATGCACTGCTTGTCCAAGGCCACTGTTCCAGCACATCTGGGCCAACACAAACCGTGGGGAAGGGCCTGGTTAGGATGAGATTAAAGAGGTAATTCTCCCTCCCTATGCAGATGGGAGCTAAGTGTGGCTTAAGTAAATTACTGAATGGCTTGTTATAGCCCTGGCTGAGTTCCCTTGCTGTGCAGGGCCTGTTTTTTTACATCCAATTTGCTTTGAAGCCCAGAGTGTCCCAACAGCATTCCAACACCTGCATCTCTGCGCTTGTCTGACATCCCTTCTCTGGACGATGGGACCCTGGGGACCTGCTGTGGGTGGCTCTGAGGCACAGGCTAAGCCCCATCAGTTTCCCTAATAATTTCTGATGTTCATTCCTTGAAAGCTCCCCCCTCTTATTGTGCTGGTCCATGATTTGGTCTTCAGGGACCGGCTGACTGAAAGCCAGAAGCACTTTGCTCTTGGCTGAAGGATTTTTAGCAGAGGCACACTTTATTCGCAGCATGGCATGGATTAGCCTACAGGCCTCCGTGATGGAACAGCACCCAATTCCCTCCTTTCCACCCTTGCTCTTGTACCCTCTCAGGAGTGTTTTGGCTCCTGATCTTTGTTCTGGAGAGGATCTGAACCCTTCCAGCTCCCTCCCTGCTCCCTCACATCACAGCCAGAGCTCTGTCCTTTGGCTTGTCATTTGTATGGACCATTTTTCTACGGAGTTTAAAGTCACTTCTAGCACCACTAAAGAGCTTTCACCCCGTTACTTGGCATTTCCCAGGAGGATTGGCCTGAGAGGCTTGGCTGGTAGAATCATAGAATATCCTGAGTGATATTCCTTCCTGAAGGGGAAGGGACTCACATCCTCAAGCCCAGCTCCTGGCCCTGCACAGGACAACCCCAAGAATCCCATCGCATGCCCATTAACCTCCACATAGAAAAACAGATTCATAGAATAACCAGAATTACAAGGGACCCCCAAGGATCATCGAGTTCACATCCTCTCCTTGCACAGCCCCAAGAACCCCACCCTGTGCCTGAGAGCGTTGTCCAAACGCTCCTTGAGCTCTGCCAGGCTTGGGGTTGTGACCACTTCCCTGGGGAGCCTGTTCCAGTGCAACCATTCCATCTAATAATGGCCCCACTTCCAATGACGAAGTGGTATGACCACGGCGACCCATCGCACAGGCTATTTCGGGGCTGCAACCCCCCGCCACGCCGCCACCGCACCCCGTATCCCCCAAAAGACAGGCGGGAGTTTCCCTGGCTTGTGAAGAAACAGCTGCTCGGTGAGGTTCGCTCCAAGGGCCGCCGGACCGCGGCTCTAGGGCGGCCAGCAGCCCCGTCCCGCCGTGCCCGTCCCGCCGTGCCCGTCCCGCCGTGCCCGTCCCGGTATCCGAGGGATTTTCGGGATGCGCTTCCCTGTCCAGGCGGCCGCCCGGGATGGGGCGGAACGTTCGGCGCGGCCCGCGCGTTCCGGGGGGGAAGGGGCCGCGCGCGCGCGGACGCCGGCGCCGCCATCATGGCGGCCTGAGGCGCGGCGGGCTCGGCGCCGGGAGCGGCGGGCGGCAGGCCGGGAGCCGACAGGTAACGCCTCGGGCCGGGGCGGCCCTGAGGGACCTCCCGGTAAATCGCCCCCTGAGGAAGGGCTCGGCCCGCTCGGTGGGGCCCGGGGGCTCTGCCGGGGGTCAGGGGAGGGACGGCAGGGCCGGGAAACCCCCGCCTCCCTGTGCGGGGTCTGCGGGCCGCTTCCCGCCCTGAAACCCCCTCAGAGAGGACTGACCGGGAGGAGCCCGGTTTGCCCCCGTGCACGGGTTGTCGTAGCCTTTGGCCAAGCTCCGTTGGAGCGTTTTGTGTATTTCAGTCACTTCTCACCAGGGTAAGACGGTTGTGGAAGCAGCGAGGTATTCCCGGGTGTGCGGACAGGTTGCAATAGCACCGCTGTTGTCTGAACTTGCGCTTGGAAAGGAGTAAAGAGTTGGCATTCCTTCCCTTTTAGGGCATGGATACAGCCAGCCATTCCTTTGCAACCTCACGCTCCAGCGTGTGGTTTGGTTAGCTGTGAGGGAGGAACAATAGAACCGGGGAATCTGAATCCTTTTCCCAGCTCGCTCAGACCATGTGCTCTCCTGAGGAAATTGTCCTCTGTGTCTGTTCCTTCTCCGTGAGTGGGGAGGGCAGCACTGGTGTGCGAGGAACCCACACTGAGTGTTACTGTATTGCAGGGATGTCTCAGTCAGAACTGAGGTGCTGTTCTTGTGCCTCTGACAGAAAGAGGATTTACACCGAGAGCTGAGACATCTCTGTGTGCAGAGTGTGAAAGGTTGCCTGCTCAGGTTGAGACCATTGAGGTGTAAAACAGGAGGGTGAAGTGTATTTTTAGAAGTTGACTAATACAGGAAGCTGTGATGCCTTCAGAAGCCTTAATTTGGGTAGGCCTGGTGAAACAGTGAAACCCCTGTGTGACTGTGCTCCCCCATGGGGGAGGATGTGGGCCCGGTGGTCACAGAACCAGACACAATCTCTGGTGTTTGGTTCTCTGCTGTTTGTTTGGTTTTCTTCTCCAGAGTAAAGGTTACGCCCTCTATTTTATACTTATCCCATACAAACATAGCACAACTCCCCCCCCCCCATCTGCCAAGTTCTTTGTTTGGTGTCTGAATAACATGCTTGGGAAGTTTTGTCTCCGTTGTTTGTAAACAAACAACTTGCTTTGTGCCGCTTGTTAATAAATAGTGGTTTAGGTTTCAAAAACAACATGTTGGTGCTGGGAGACAACATGCACACCAGAAATGTCAGGCAGCAGAGGAAGACAAAGACCTCTCTTTACAGGGACTTAAATAGAGCCTTTGTCGACAGGGTATTTTTATCACTTGAACTTTCCAGTTAACCCAAAACACTTAAACTGTGCAGTGCAGACTGGTGAGCTGCTTTACAGGCCTGTTCTCTTTGCCTTTTGGGCTCAGAAAGCAGTAGGAATTATGTGCACACACTATATATGTAACCAGTGTCAAAGGAAAAGGTGTGGTGTGTGAGCACACAGTGTGGATCGGTCCTTCACAGGGAATTACAGTAGGGGCTGGTTTTGGGGTGTGTGATGAGGAAGGAGGAAGCCTCAGCTGGCCTCTAACAGATATATCAAAAGCATCTTTCACATTTGGCAGCATCAGTGTAAGGAAAAGTCTGAAAACAACATGAAATCTAAACTTTCCTTCTGGCAAGGGCAGATCCTTTTAGGGGACTGAACAGAGAGAAATTTTGCTCAGATACTGTGTGGGTCATTTTTGCTCCCCAGACAAATCAGCAGTTGAACCTGCTGGGTTTGTGGCCTGCCCTGGGTACTGGAGAAGAGCCTGGCTCTGCTGCAGTGAAAAAAGCTCAGCACCTCCTGGTCCATTGCCAGGCAGGACTTGGCAGAGGAGGAAGAATGTATTAATATTATATTCTTTTATTGACAGATTGAAAACCTAGAATGGCAGGGGAACAGAAACCGTCCTGCAATCTTCTAGAGCAGTTTATTTTACTGGCCAAAGGTACAAGTGGCTCCGCTCTGACTGCTCTTATAAATCAAGTGCTGGAGGCTCCTGGGGTTTATGTCTTTGGAGAACTGTTGGAGTTAACAAACGTGCAGGAGGTAAGAGATGAGTTTCCATCCTAATGCCCTTTTCTGCACTCCTCCAATATGAGGGATCCCCAGAAATTTTCACACACAGCCTGTGCATGAAATTTCTGTGCCAGGAAGGGCCTGATGCGACTTATTTTGGTTCTGAGATGTTTGTGTGTGAGAGACTGATGTTGCTTTTGCCTTGTATATGTTAGGTGTTAAAAAATACCTATATAAAGCTTTGCTACCTTAATGCAATTGCTAACACAGCAGAAACCTGGCAGCAGCACAGTAACAGTTTTAGGAAGGCACTTGGCCAACCAGCAACAAAAAAAATCCCTTTCTACTCCTTTGCTGTCCTGGAAAGCAGAACTTCAGTGCTCTCCAAAAGTCTTTGTGAACAGATGTCTAGTGTATCAGGCCTGGGTGGTAACCAAATCCAAACCATTTCAAACCAAGATGGAAAGTAAGTTCCAGAGCTTTTGCTGAGAATGCCTTGCCAGCCCCTACCTCTACTCCAGCAAGGGAATCTAAGCTGAGTATCTCTGCAGCTGGAATAACGCAGTGTGCAGCAAGTTTGGCTTTCCAGACAGGCTCCTAAATATGCCCAGAAGTGCCTCTATGGTTATTCAGCATCAACTCACAAGGACTTTCTCCCCTCCCCCCCGGATTGTGTGCAGCAAATTTTATTAAAAAAACCCCAATCAATAAAAATCACTGCTTGGTGCTGCTGTTACCCAGTGAAGTGTTTGCAGGCAAGGAGTGCTGTTACATTTGAGTGTTCAAATGCACTCAACTCACCGTGTTCCAGCTTGCTTTGCTTTGAAGCTGTGGTGGCTCTGCAGGTGAGTTGCCTTTGCTTTCACAGTCACAGCCAGGATGCTTAACCAGCCATCACCATTGCCTGCTTACTTATCACATGAGGAGAAGAGCTGGCCCTGTAGGTTGTCAGCTGAAATTAAGATTTGCCTCTTTCTTTTACCCCCTGAGGTGCTGCACAAAGCAGTTGACAGCCCAAACTGTAGTTATTTCTGGGGCATAGAATTGGCTGGATCATCTTGACTCTAAAACTGCTGAAATTTGCTGCTGCTCCTGAGCCCTTAGAAAGGGTCCAGCTCTTTAAGACAGAGATGTAGTTGCTTTTCTGGGTACTTCTTGTCCTATGCAGGCTTAAACCATTCTCTGGAGAAGTTGATTATCAGGGTTGTGTTGACTGTTACTATTCAATGTGACATTTCTTTTCTTCCCACTCAGCTTGCTGAAGGGTCCAATGCTGCTTATTTCCAGCTGCTGAACCTGTTTGCATACGGAACGTACCGAGACTATGTAGGTAAGAGACTGCTGCCTGATTGCAGAGGGCAGGGCTGGGCTGCCCTCCGGGATTGTCGGAGGCAGCTCCTTGCTTTCTGTGATGCCTGGTGGAGTGTGGCTGAGGGAAATTGTCCAAGAACAGAATTTGCTTGGGAGGAGAGTTCTCCATAGGGGTTCTCTGCGTCCTGTGTGCTTTTTAATTGCTAAAATTAAAGGAAGGGCTAGAGACCACAATGTGGTACTGGTTTGGATGGGACAGCAGTGCTGGATGGAATTGGTCTGTAGCAGAATTCATTAACATTCACAGACCACTTACCTCTGCAGAGGGCAATTTCAGACACCTGTTTGGAAATTTAGATGGCACCGCTTATGGAAACTGCAGAAAACTTTGTCTAAGTTGTTCTGCATTATTTATAAAAACCTATATGGTTTATGAGACAACCTTTTATTCCATGACAGCACTGCTGAAACAAAATGAAGAATTTCTTAGCTAGAATAGAAGTTGAAATAATGACTTTTATACAGCTTCAGAGGGACTGTGTGTGAATCATCTTTGTATCTGTCGAAATGTGCTTTTATCTCTGGTGCTTATGCTTCCATTCTGCTACAATTTAATGCTTCATTTGTGGGTAGCAGCCTCATCCGGACCATTACGGAGTGTGACAAAGAATTCTGTCATGGTGCTGGCTATCACTGTGCTGGATGAGCTATCTAGTTCCTGTAAGGAGAAGTGGCATCTGTAAGTGCAAGGACTGGAAATTCCAGTGGCTGTGGAACAACACGAGCCTCATGAATTCTGTGGCTGATTAGAGGATGTGTTTGCTGTTCATGGCTCTTGTGTCCCAGCATGTGACAGCACAGATCGTTCTTCCTTTTCTAGTGGAGAGAGAAAAATGGGTAAAGGTAGTCAAAATGTAGAACAGTGGATGAGGTGGGATGGATGGGAGAACTTGAGTGGCCCTGAAACATTAATTTCCATTAAAGTAGATATTTTAAAGAGGGTTTTTTGCTTTGGAGAGCTGCCAGTTTCCTTTTTGTTTTTAAATATTCATGAGGCACATGGATATAATACTGTGACAGTGTGGCCATCTAGATTAATAATTTTTCCTCTCTTCCTCAGCCTGGTACTTTAAACTTTCAACTCTAAATTCTGCAGTTCTTCAGAGAAATAAAACCAGCTGTATTTGTGAACAGATTAGCCAAGAAGGAAGATTTTATTCTGTCAGCTTGTTAATGAAATAAAAATTACTTATTAGAAACAAAACATTGACCAGCAGTTTTGGCAGGGCACCACTTGTGAATTACCTTCTAATTTCAGAACCAGAATTACTAAAGAAGCAGAGAAGCATGGAATTGTCAAGTTGTTTTTAACAAGTCCTGAATCCTGTCTTTTTGACATTAACAGCAAACAAAGACAACCTTCCTGAATTAACAGTGACTCAGACAAACAAGCTGAAGCACTTGACGATCGTAAGCCTGGCGTCCCGAATGAAGGTAACGTGCCTGGAGTGTGGCACCACTGGGCTCTTGGTTTAGTTTTAGAAAATAGCATCCACTCCATAGCACTGAAGTGCTATGGAATCCATAATTACTCACAAAAAAATTCTGTCCTAGGAAAGTACCTGCAGTGTACAGTGTTCTCTCCTGGTGCATTTGGGACATTAGCCTAGTGGAATTCCATGGATGAGGTGTAAGGGTGTCTGAACTGACGTGCAAATTGGTCAGGAAGGCCTGGGAAACTTTGTATGGCTTCATTCACTGCTGGAAACAGAGAATCCTGCTTAAAACCACTTTTTGTTCTAGAAAGGGCTAAGCCAGCACTCTTAATTTCTTATACAATCCCATTACCTTTTTTCTTCCGTGATGTGCTAATGCCAAAGCTTCGGGAATTACTGAAGTTGTGACAGAATATTTCATGGCCTGGCAGGTGTTTGTTCTGCCACGATCAGTCACTGCTGCATGTGCAGGTTAAAGTGTAGGATACAGTAAAAGTTTGAGTCTTGACCTTCTCAGACTTAGCTGTTCATTTTTGACTCTAGGACTGTTGACTTACTCTTGGTCTTGCTTTTTTAGTGCATTCCCTATTCTGTGTTGCTGAAGGACCTGGATATGAGGAATCTGAGGGAGTTGGAAGATCTGATTATTGAGGCGGTTTATACAGATATTATCCAGGGGAAGTTGGATCAGCGAAACCAGGTGTTAGAGGTGGATTTTTGTATTGGTAGAGACATTCAGAAGAAGGACATCAGTAACATTGTCAAAACACTCCAGGAATGGTGAGGCAGCCTCTCTACCTTTCTTGTTCCTTGTTACGTGGCTTGTCCTGTTTTTAGCTTATCCTCAGAGTTTCAAGTGCTGGCTCAATTTCATGTTCCATTAATCAGGAGTCCTGTGCTATAAATCGGCACGTGGAGGAGGAGTCTGTTGGGCGAGTTTTCCAAGATCCCATCTGGGACTCAATTTGTGTTATATGTGAAGCCAAACTACCACATGGTGAGCTTCTGCTCACACTGTTGTTTTTACATGGCAGGACCCCAGCGAGGAGAAGAGGCTTGTGCAGAGAGAGGTGCCAAACTGGACCCAAGGTCCTCTCCTTGCTGCTGTTACACTTGATAATGAAAACAGAACTGTTACTTTACAGCCTTTTTCACTGGGATGAGAACCATGTGGGCAAATTCTAGAGACTGCTGCCTGCAACCACAGTGGGACTGTGGTATTATCATTTTGTACCTTTGCCAGGAGCTACTTCTCATCTTTTTGTAGGACTCCTTTCCCACCCAGAGAAATTCCCCTGTAGACTTTGGAGCCCGTGGCAGATCCTAAACTGACTGGGAATTGCTTCCTAGTTGCTGTGGCAATGAGTGCATGAAAAGTAACTAAACTGCTGGGCAAATACACTGTCCTGAGGTGGGGGCAGGTTTTTTGCTTCTCTACTCCAACTCCCTCAGTCCCATCATGGCAGGAGGGCTCTGGCAGCTTCCAGGACCTTACAACCCTGTTTGGAAGGTAACAGTGAACCCACTTTTTTGTCTTCTCCAGATCTGAGTTCTTGTCATTTGAACACTTATTTTGGTATTACTTTTTTCCTTAATTTTAAAATTTTTCTTACTTTAAATAATGTGTTGCATCCCTGTTTGAGCCGCAATTCTGATTGAAAAGGAAGGTTGAAAGTACAATGAACCTGCCCTTACTCTTTGATGGTAAGAGCAACACAGACTCTCTAGAGAATGCTGTGAAATTCATCGAGTATGCAGCAAAAAAAACTTGCCAGCTTTTTGCATCTCTAAGCAGGAGGTATAAATTTAATAATCTCTTAAACTTTTGGATAAGTGTGACTTTTCAGTGCCTGACTGAGCTGCTCCAGAGGGAACTCATAGACATTGTTTGACATGGTTTGTGTCTTACAGGTGCGACGGTTGTGAGGCAGTTCTTTTAGGAATTGAGCAGCAAGTACTTAGAGCCAACCAGTACAAAGAGAACCATCACAGAACTCAGCAGCAGGTAGAGATGGAGGTGGGTACAGCGTAATTTCAGAGTGGTTGATAAGTGTTTGCTGAAAAAAATGATCCGGTAACACCTGGTTGATGGTCATGGCTCTCTGAATCAGGCTGGCAATCATGCAAATAAGGTGTGGGGTAGGAAGAAAACACGTCTGTTTCTCAGTGCTGGTAAGACCACAAACATCACATTTGCCCACTACGAGCAGATTGCACCTTTCTTGATACATTTTTATAAATTTAGGGTAGGTGACTGAACTAACTGTTGTCCTACATTGATTTGTGTGGAAAACTGTGCTTTCAGCACAAGGCTTTGATACAATTCTGTAGGAATTGTAGGCAGGTTGGAAGCTAAAAAATAAACCAGTTCTCTTTGTTTGGCACCTGAAAGTGCGATTGACAAAAATCTCTCGAGGCTCGTTGCCTTTGCAAAACGTGCCCCCGGCAGCTCCCCCGGGGGCCGGGGCGGCCCGGCCGGGCCCTGCGCGCTCCCGCCCGTAGGTGGCAGCACGAGCCCGCGGTCCGGCCGGCCCGAGCCACCAAACCCACCTAAAGGTGGGAACGGGCCTCCCGAGGCGCTGGATCAGGGCTTATTTCTTGCCAAAGGCTGCATCCCTGCAGGTTTATGTTTGCGTGTGCTTGGAGGCTCTATCAGCATCCATTGGACGTTTGGTTTGCCAAATGCCTTTGGCCTGGTGTTGGTGCACCTGACTCCCAAACCTTGGGGTTTTTTTTTTAAAGGTTTGCTCATTGTATTTGTAGTGAGCCCTACAGAGTTCCAGGGGACAGAGGATGGTTCCTGGTGATGCATCTCTCCTTTTCAGCCACAGTAGCAGAAACATTACTGCTGCCTCCCATGAAACCAATTTCTGTTCCCACTTCTAGCAAATACCTATGGCTCAACCAGCCAACCAGGTCAAATGGCATTTTCCCTTTTCAAGTGCTGTCCTAAGAGCAAATTTTTCTTTCACAGTCTCCTTTCACCTTCTGCTTCTGGCCAACAGAAAAGTAGAATGGCTGCCTTCTTCGCCAAGGCAGTAGTAGGTCCCTCCAGCCAGGAAGAAAGGTGGTACAATATTGTGCCATTGTCTCTTAGGAAAAAAAAAAGGACTCCCCAGTTATTCTGTATTTGACCCAGACTGGAAATATTAACAGCTCTGGCTGTAAATGAGGATGAAACATTAATAAAGTCAAATGCAGAGCGCGTTACTGCTGGGAGAGTCTCTTTTGTAATCTCCACTCTGTACTCCAGGGGATTTTCAATATGTTTATGAACAGAGTTTCTGCTGTGAGGGGAGAAAGAAGCAGGTGCTGATTCACTGTCTCTTCTTGGCCAGGTCACAAACATAAAGAAAACATTAAAAGCTACAGCCTCGTCGTCGGCACAGGAGATGGAACAGCAGCTGGTAGAGCGAGAGTGCCCTCCACACACAGAACAAAGGCAGCCCACAAAGAAGATGTCCAAAGTCAAAGGGCTGGTCTCCAGCCGCCACTAGAACATACCATCCACATTGTCATTCAGTTAGGAATGACAACAGGAGGAGCAAAAAGGGCCTGCAACTCCTTTTTCAGTGGGTTCTGGGCCAGTCCCTTCCAGGCTGGCAGATAAAAGCCGTGTTTGAACACAGCTCCCAGTTAGCAGCACCTGGCTAAGTTACACTGTGTAGCCCCTATGAATTTTCAGGGTGTCCCTGTTCTGGTCTTCTAAAGAGGGACTTTTAAAGAAAGGGACTAACCAAAGGGGGCAGGAAAAAAACCAAAATATCTGTGGACAGTTTTGCTCCCTCCCAGCTAGTTTTATTGCTGCTTAACCTTGAGGAAGCTGCTGTACTAAATCAGATCTTGGGAAGAGCTTCTATAGCAAGTGTCTGAATCCCAGGGTTGAAGTGTGGCTACCAAAGCCAGGCTGGGAGTGAGGAAGCCATCAACACAGATCTTTTCATTCCCAAAGGGAGCGCAGGAAGGTTTCTAGGCCAGGAACTGCTTTACATGGAAGTCTTCAGCCTTTCTGCTACCCCTGTCTATTTTAAACTGGGGTGAAATTCACACTACCTCGCTCTGTGAAGATGAGATCCAGTGCTGGGCTGTTTACTTAACTGTCTGTTTACTGCCCTTACTAAGCCCTTTAATCTCTCACAGATTTAAAGCACTGTTCTGCATCTCTGAGGCATCAATACAATAAGGAGGAAGCAGGCTGCTCTTTCACGCCTTCCTTCTTGCAGGTGGTCAGGGGCACGCTAGAAACTGGTCCTCCTGAATGTGATGTGACCTCCCAGAGCTGCTTGTGAGTTGTTTCCCCCATTGATACCTTCGGAGGGTAATGCATTCGCTCTTGCTTGGATGCTGGCGACAGTGGTCTGCACGGGAGAGGAGCCTGTTTGGCATCAAGGCAGGCTGGTGGCCCAGGACCCACTGGCAGGGGTCGCAGCAGCATCCCCTTGCTGAAGCAACGGACTTGACTAGTTTTTCTGAATTTTGAACACTTTCAGGTTGTATTTTCTTCCTTTTTTTTTTTTTTTTTTTGTACATTGTTGTGATTCTAAAGCATTTCAGCCTTTGTTTTGTGGGTTTTTTTTTTTTTATTTGTTACAGACTAACTTCAGGTGATTTGCACCTAGTTTGTCAAGGTGTGGGGTTTTGGTTTTTTTTTTAAGGGGGAAGCATTGGAACAGCAATTCACGAAAAAGCACATTTTAGAAAAAAAATTAAAAATGCTGATTTAATGTCAGAGTCTGGAGTCTTGACTTTGAGGCTGCTTTAGGCTTGTAGTCCAGTGGCACTTGCTCACTTGAGAATTTACTTGATTCTTAGTGTATGTTATCCAAAGGTCTTACTGAGCTCCCTTATTCATGTGAGAGGCAGGAAAGCGCTCTTCATGTTTTGTCAGTAGTTCACCTTTGTCCAAATTTGTGCAGAAGGATCCGTGGCAGAGCTGGTAGCCAAGCCCAGTGTCCTGAGCCTGAACAGCTTGGGCTGGCTGTGGAAGGTTTGTAGTTGTGCTCTGTCTTAGGCCAGTCAATTCCTCCCTTTGGGTCTAGCAGAGTGTGCTTTGTAGTTTGGCCCCTCCACTTTGCTTCTGTAAAGGGAAGAGCTTCCTGTGAGCAGGCAGGGGAGCTGTTGAAGCAGAGGACTGTGACAGTCCTCCAGTCCTGCAGCCAGCTGTCACCTGCGCTTGCTTGTGCAGTGCACGTGCCTTCCTCTTATTGCTACCAGGACTCTTTGCCATCTGCGTGTTTGCAGTCCTCAGTCACAGGACTTGTTCACTTTTGAAAGTAAATCTCTCTCCTTTTCTTCTCCTGCAGAGCAGGTACACCAGCTTTTAATCTGGAGAGGTAGATCTAAATAATCCCACTCCATCTTCCTCTGGGTCAAGTCCCAGAGGCTTCTGATTCTGATCGAGCTTCTGATTCTTTACCAGCTCTCTGTCCCCCTACAAATCCCAGCCAAAATATTCCCAGGGAAGGACATTAAGGGAGTAAGTCCAGAGCATGAAGCCCTCCCCTGTACCTCAAGGGAGTTGCTCCCTAAGCAGTGACAGTACTAGTTCCTGTTCCAGCTTCTCCCAGTGTTTAGCTGACAGCTTCTGAGAGGTGCAGGTGGACTTTGTGTCCCCGAATCTGTGTGATGGAGACGGACTGGGTCTGTTTCTGGCTTGCTGTGTGGACAGCTGCAGCGTACTGGTTGTCCAGTTCCTCACTGGATTTGACTGGTGAGAATAGGCTCTGTTTTCTTTCCCTCCCATTTGTAATATCAGTCCTGTAAAGAGGCAGGAGGAATACAAATGCCTTTGGACATTGTTTTTAGCTCCTCAGCAAGCCACAGTCTGCTGGGGAAATAGATGTGAGTTTGGCACCCTTGGTGTTTGTTCCCTGCCAGTTACAGGAGTCACATTAGTTTGCTGGAGCTTCTTTTAGTGTGTTGGAAGTTTTCGAGTTTGTTCTTACGTTTTTGCTGTTCTCAAAGCCTGGCTGGGGGTGAGGATCTTATTCATGCTTCAGTACACATTGCCTTTGATCAGCAAAGAAGCAAGGGAGGAAATAGCACTTGGAATAAAGAGCTGTCCCATGTTTGGTGGCGACAGAGGACGGAGAAGGGACTGGGGTATTGGAGGGAATGGAGCTGTTTGCGTGTTTGGCTCTCCTGGTATGCCAGCGACGGGCTTGGTGCCGCAAAAGGAGGGGGGTGTCTGCAATGAGCCCAGGCTGAGATGAGTCATTAACAAATGACATGCACAGAGTACCTGGGGGAGGCAAAACAGCTCTGCAGCAGCTGGTTAATGAATCTGGCTTGAAGGAAAGAGTTAGAAGCTATTCCGGGAACGAAGCAGAAGGCAGAGTTGTTAACAGAGAAGGATGCAGGAGGTGCTGTGCTGTTTGAGAAGGACAATAGATAAAGACTCTGTTGGCTCCCTGTGACTACAGGAAGGGCAGCAACTCAGCCGAGTTGCATGAATTAGGGACGGGATTGTGAACAGTTTTGAGTAGGGAGTGCTCAGGGAGCTTAACTGTGCTATGGGAATGAGAGGGAGGTGGAAGCAGAGGCAGTTTTGATGTAAACTCCCATGTGTTGCATGTGCCTGCTGGAGGCAGCTAAGGCAGCTTGTCCGAGCACTGCTGGACTCTGCTGGATGCTGCTCCCTGGCACGGGGAGAGTGTCCTGCCCTGCTTTGGTTTATGGCAGCAAAGAGCTGCTCCAGCTGCAGCTCGCTCCAAGATTGCAGCAGGACAGACTTTGAGCTATTGAACTTCTGTTTGCCTCCTCCACCCCGAGGGAGACAAAGTGGTTGGAGCTACCTTCCCTCTGCTCTTCAGGGTTTTATTGTCTAGCTTTGTGTTCTGCAGCTCCACTTGTACTACTGCTTGTTTAATATGGAATTGAGCACTGAGCTGGAAAATGGAAGAGAGGATCTCAGCTGATTGCAGTGCTGGTAGGCTGCCCTAGCCCTAAAGCTGTGCCTCATGCTAACAAATGTCCCTGGCATTCCCACTGTGACTTGGTTGATACCAGCTAACATCAGGCAATTTTGGAACATGATAAAGCAATGCTGATGTCAGTCTTTTACAGAAGAAAAAAAGTTTTGGTTCAAAATCTATTCATCTTTTACTTCCCCCCTCACCTTCTTAAATAAGTTGAATGCCAGGGTAGTCTTGTGTTGAGAGTAGGAGGGAAAGTAAGTGATGCTGACATACCCTTCTGTATTCAAATTTGAGACTTATCCTGCAACTGGTCTTGTGCAGATTTCTGAAATCAAGTGGGTGCTTTTGGAGCTGCTCTCAGGCTCGCAGGTCTCTCTCCATGGATTCTGTACAGGAGTAGGACCTGCAGAGCTGCTCTCCAGAGCAAAGCTGGGGAAAGCAAAGCTTCTCTTCCTATAGAGACAGTGGTAGAAAGAGGTGGCCATTCTTCCACCAGCCCTGCAAAGGGAATTTTGCTGAACAGCTTTCAGTTTCTATAAGACTGGAAAATGATACAGGCCTCAGAGGGTGGCTTTGGTTTTAGTGTTCTTATCCTGAGGGTGAAATGCTTTGCTTCATGTGTGTGAAGCAGACTTGGGCTTACTCATTGCAGGGGAGACAGAAGGAGGAGTGCCCTTAGCTTTGATAGCTGTATTGGAACATAACAAATCACATGGGTAAACCAGACTTTTCCTAAGCTTTCAGTTCTCTACAGGTTTATATGAGTGCAGCTAAGCTGGAAACCACACAAAGCCACCTCTGCAGGGTAAAACAGTCCAAGGTTGTGTGTTTGTAGGGCTGCTGTGCTGGGGTCTGTTACTTCAGCATCTGAGTCAATTGCAAACTGCAGTGGAGAGAGACAACCTTGCTCTTTATTATTATTCTTAAAAATGGGGAAATGGAGAAATTCAAGAACCTGCCCCACAAGCCCAGCTAGCCAGATCTTGGGCACCTCGTCCCAAACAAAGTCTCTTGTTTTTTTTCTACCCCACTGATTCCTCTATAGCATCTGACCTAATGCAAAGGAACCAAAACCTGAATCTACGTGGCATATTTTTGTGTAATCTGAGAGAGAGTAACCCAGCGGCAGCAAGGAAAGTAAATTAAAGTTTAGAGTGATCTCAGTTCCTACTTGAAACCTCAACCTTGTATTCTTAATACAGAGTTTTAGCCTGACAGTCTGATTGAATTTCTCAGCAGAGTTTTTAGAAATATGTCATTGTTTCACTCTGCTCCGTGATGAAGGTCCGTGTCTCTCAGGGACTGTTGACATTTTGCTGATATTTCATCAAGTTTGGCCCTACCACAGAGCTACCAGAGGTAAGTGATTGAGGTAAAGAGAGTGCGTGTTTACCCCCTAGGCTGGGCTGACCCTGTTCTCAGTGACTGTGGTGCTATTCCCCTCTCTGACTGGTGAACCGGGCCAGGAAAAGGCAGAGCAGCGCTTTGCTCCCTGCCTCCGAATCCACAGGCACAGACGCTTCTTTTTCCCACAGTGTGTTCATCTCAGGAGATACCCTGTTGCAAATTGCCTGAGTGTGGTTGCTGTGGCCACAGCTTTTTCTTGATAAGAAAAGATGTTCCTGCTCCGGTGAATGCATATACGCACTGGAAATTCCAGGCGGTAATGGGATGCCATAAGGTCATTTAATAGTCCTGAAATGTGTATTTCTCCACAGAGCACAGAAGAATTTGTGCCAATAGGCCTTGCTTGGTGTAATTCTAGTAGAAGATGGGACCCCCTTCTGTGTCTCCAAGCCTCCTATGGAGGCTTTGGAATATCTGTATCATTAGGGCATTTTAAAAATGCTGTAATCCCACATGATACTTCTGTGTTTCCAGAAAAGCTGTTTGTGGTGGGTAAGCGAAGCCTCACTCTGTCAGGGATCAGCCTTTTTGTGAGTATTTGGAGCTTGTCTGACCACAGGCTGTATCTTCATGGGTCTCAGGCTTGGAAGCAGTGCTGTTCAGCCCTCCAGACTTTTCCCAGAGATGCAGTTTATCTCAGCAGCCCTCATGCTTTGCTCAGTGTGTCGTGGTGAGCACAGTCCTAAGGCTGCTCTGTGCTAGTGCAGTCAGTAACGTCTCGGTGTTTCACTGTCACCTTTGCAGCTGTTAGAGAGCACCAGCTCCTTCAGGATCACCTGCCTTGCTGTGAAGCTGTACCTTTTACATCACAACTGTGAGATGACACCTCTCCTTGCTGGCAGACAAGCCAGGTGGGTAGGCATTGCTCTTCAGAGCTGTTCTGCACCTCGGGAGGTGAAGGCCGTTGCCTGGTTAAGCATAAAGGAAGTCAAGGACAAGGACAGTGTTATAAATAAGGGGCAAATAAGAGCTGTGTCCTGTTCCAGCTCTGCTGCAGTTGCAGAGAGCAACCTTGGGCAGATCAGCTCCTCTGCAGCTGCGTTTCCCAGCCTTGCTCCTGTGTGCTGACTGTGACAGGGGTTTGTGAAGGGCTTTGGTCTCCTGGCTGGGCAGAGTTCATTGCTGATGGAATTGATGCATACTTGCAGTAGGGGGGAAATCTTAAACCTTTTAAGCTTTTCCAGAAGTGATCTTCCTCCTCTGCAGCATACCCCTCTTTTCTCCTGATGCAGATAAGGTGGTCCATTGTGGGAATATCAGCCCAGAGTATTATGGGTAATATTCCAGGTTAATTATGGAGGGGGCAGGAAAAATAGCCTGTGCCGTTTTCAACAATATCAAAGGGATGCTACCTAATGATTTTCCTATTAGCTCTTTTCCCAGCCTGCTAGAGTCGCTGCAGAAG